GGATAAATTTGGGTAATGCAGGGTACATTGATTCACTAATAGCCACATTTATTTGTATGTTGCATTTTAAATGTTTGTTGACTGTTAGTGAGGACCACATGTACATATTTTATTTAGGGAATAACATTGAACAAACTGTGTTCTTGAACTCCACATGTGTTACACTGTTATTGACTGTAAGTGGAGAGGGTCATTTAATATATATTGGACAATGTATGTTGGTGGACTATTAAATATAATGTGTTTAAATAAACTGTCTTATTAGACCACTTTTTTCTATTGAACAGTATATGTTGGTGGACAATTAAACAAACTGTGTTGGTGGACCAATTTATTTGTATTGAACTATTTGAGTTTATTGACTCTGCTAAAAACTAATATTGTGTTTTTCTTTATTTGACAAGCGCATCTTAAGAGTATTGTACAATAGTGATTCATCATTGTGGGTTTATTGTAAATCATTCCCAATGAGATATATTCGTAAAAAACTATCCTTCTTCGATATGTGCCACATTGACTCTATGTCAATGCTTGTTTTGCATGATATGATTAAAGAGTTGGAATATGGAGAGGCACATGAGATGTACTGGAAAAATCAGGGGGTGTGTTAACTATTAGTCCATTAAAAAAATGATAGTGATGTGTTAACTATGTTTGGGACTTTACCTAGGAATAAGTATGTTCATATATACCTATAATAAGTTCTGGAAGACAAACATGAAACAAATGCTGAAACTATTACTGAAATTAGTGTTGTTGAACATACTAAAACCAATATTGAAATTGAAACTGAAATCATTGTCGCTGAACAAACTGAAACCAATTATGCTTATGCTTTTGTTGAAACTGAAACCAATGCTTTGGAATAGAATGTTGAGCATAATCCTGAAAATGTTACTATTAGAAATTATTATTATGATAGTGAGGATGAATTTTTAGACTATGTAGCTTCTGATAGTGAAACTTGTGATAATATATTTTAGGATAGTAATAATGACTTGCTGATGATGAGGATGAATGTTGTGATGTACATGTGGGGTTGATATACTTGGATTTAGTGTAGGTAATGATGGTGATGTCATAGATAATGAAGTTGAGAGTGAGGGTTTAGAGTCATCGCATAGTGCAAATGACTCTAAAACAGAGGTTGGGATGAGGAGATGTCCTGAATTCAATAATGGTGTTGACTTAGAAAATCCATGATTTAAGAAAGGTTTGTTGTTTCCTAACTAAGAACTCATAAAAGTAGTGCAACAACATGGAGTGAAAAATAGGTACAATGTAAAGCTTAAGGTTAATGATTCTATAATACTTCAAGATGTGTGTAAGGAGGGGTGCCAGTAAAATTGTATTATTATTATATTGTTTTTATACTAATTGAATTGTATTATTTAAATCGTATCATATTTTTATTAAACTAGTGCGTATTAAATTGGTTAAAATGTTTGTGTTTAAACTAGTGAAATTGTTTGTATCATGTCATGTGTTGGCCTAAGCATGCAGGTGGGCATAAGTTTGAGGTATTTGCTGGATATAAAGATCAACATGTTGTAGACTTAGAATCACATTCATCCAGTTGTAGAAAGTGGGACCTTACAGGTATTTCAAACATTTACATCATATTTAATAATAATTTATATCATGTCCATTTAGCTGATCAATCGGTTAATGTTTTTTTGTAGGAATACCATGTATACATATTGCATCTGTCATTCTCATGAGCCAATATAGGCCAGAAATTTATGTTAGCAGCTACTACTTTAAACAAACTCAATTGAACATATATGCACCTATAATTAGAGCACTCAAAGGTCCAAAACAATGGGCTCATCATACTAAAGATGAGCCCATCTTACCCCTATAATTAGAAGGCTAGTGGGCAGATCTAAAAGGAATAGAACAAAGGAAGCTGATGAACCATTAACAACAACTGAAAGAATGTCTAAAAAGGGTGTTATAATGAAATGCACAAAATGTGGTAATGAAGGCCACAGTAAAAGGTCTTGTAGGGGGTAAATTGGTGGCAACACACTAGTTGTACTAGCAATAAGAGGTATCAAAAACCCTGTAAGTAATGTTACACCATTTCTATACATTTAATACTAGTACAACCATTTAACTAAATTTTTGTCTTACTTTTTTAGGTTAGGAGGATAAGAGAATCTAATCCAACAAGTCCAAGTGGACAATGACAATGTACCACAGTAAGGTGGATGATACCTTTTCAACAGAGCTCTACCAGCCAACACCATCAAAAGACCTAAGCATAAGGACCATGCACCACGTGGATGATGAATTCTTAACAGAGCTTTACCAGCCAGCACCATCAAGGGAGTCAAGCACAAGGACCATGCACCACGATAAGGTGAATGATAAATTCTCAATAGAGTTATACTAGCCAGCGCCATCAAGGGAGTCAAGTACAAGGATCAGACGCCACAGTAAGGTGGATAATGAATTCTCAACAGAGCTCCATCAGTCAACATCAAGTCCATGTTGGTGGAAGGACACAACTAACAACAAAAAGAGTTGGCAAACTACCAATAAGTGCAAGTATGTTTTTTATTTTTTGTAATGTCATAGTTGGTTGAAACGATATATTAATAAGCTTTTGTTAATGTTCCTTTAGATTAGGAGATCAGTAGTAGCAACTCCAACCTAGCACAATCAAGGTAGTCATACACAACCTCAAACACAAGGTTAAGACACCACAGTAAGGTGGATAATGTCTTTTCAGGAGATGTCTCTCACCTAACCTCAAATACAAAATCCTGTTCAAAGAGGCCTAGGTGGATAATGCCTTTTGTGAAAACCATGTTGTGTGAAGTCTATTTCGTGTCAATTGATACAGTTTTTTTTGGAAATATGCATTTTGGTGAATTCTAATCAATAAGATAGAGTCTATTTTGTGGTTGGAATTTATTTTATGGTTGATAAGAACAAGTTATTAACATGCGAGTAAGGTTGTTTTGGTGAATTATAGTAAATAAGGTTGTTATTAACCTGTCAAGTCCATATTGGTCAAATATGTGATTATTTCCATATGTACAAATATATGAGCAAATTGAATAATACATCATTTTGTTCAATATCTTTTGTATATCAATTAAGTTTATAATTCAATATTGTTCAATTTTATGATTATTTTATTGAAATTATAACAATATCCAAACAAATGTAAAGTGGATTATACATAACATGTATTATTAACAAGATCCAAACATATTGTTCTTAATTCATCTATTCATTAACACCATAATAACAATATATATTACCATAAACGATTCACATACATAAAAGTATCATATTCAAAATTACAATTCCACTTAAACAATTTTCAACCTTCACTTCCCATTGCATAAACCATCCTTAAACTTCAATATCTACTACAAAAGTTACCAAAAACCATCCTCAAAATTCAATAGCTATTGCATAAGTTACCAAAAACTATATTCAACCTTCATCCACATAAAATGAAGGTAATAAAAACTGAAGATATAATAGCAAAAGTCCAAAGAAATATCTCTTTTATTTTTCTCTTCTCAATTGCTCTGATTTTTCTAAGTAGCCCAACCACAAGCAGCTTTGCATGAGGAGTCATCGTTGGTTTATACCATTGGAAAAATTGCACGATCTGCGCCATTTATTACCATAATTATTGCAATCCAAAAATTACTTCCCAGGGTTGTTGTCTGACCATGTTGTCTTCAACACCGTCAGATTCCACACCTGCATATTGGAATAAAGTTTAACTTAAGCTTTGAATCCATATTCGATGGCCCTTTTTCTTTTATAGGGTTAGGAATTTTAACTATTATAAGTCCCAAATATATATACATCATATTTTATCTTTTTTTATTAATCTTATGTGGCAACTTTTTTAATTAAAAAAAACCACGTGGGAATAGCGTTAGTGAAGAAAACGATTGAGTGACCAAATAAGTCAAATATCTTAAGTTCAGTTGGTAAATTGCAAATTTTTAAAGTTAAATGAGTTAAATAGGAAAGAGTGTAAAGTTCAGTTACTAAATTTGTAATTTACCCTTATTATTATTTGTTTTGTTTATTTAAAAATTTAGGTTAAAATACATAAATAATCTCGGGCTATAAGGTACTACTTTGTTGAGTCTTCCGACTATTAAAAGTTACAAAATGGTCTCTCGACTACATGATGCTACTTTGTTGAATCTATCGACTATTAACAGCTACAAAATAATCAATCTAATATTTATATATTTCAAATTCATCATTTTTTATTAAAAGATTGATACTTGTATGTGTTGGATGTTAGCATGCTAATTGATATATGATAAAATAATATTTTAATAATGTCTATTGACATCATTGTTGCTTTCAATATCTTATGGATCATATATCAGTGAGCAGATTAACATCTAACTCGGACGACTGCCAATTTTTCAACGAAAAAGACGAGTTTGGAACATATGAATAGTCGAGTAACTATTTTGTAACTTTTAATAGTCGGTGACTTAACAAAGCAACGCCTTATAATCGATGAATTATTTTGTAATTTTTAATAGTCAATAGATTTAATAAAATAGTACGCAATAGAAAAGGATCATTTGTGTACTTTATTTAAAATAAAAAAAATATAAAATAGTTAATTGATATAATAAAATAAAAAATTCATCATGAATATATTAATTAATATTTCATAAAATATCAAATACAAAATTAAAATATCATAATAAACTTATTTTTAAATCATGACAACTTTTAAAAATTCAAATTGAAAATGAACTCAAAGCTTTCGTTACTCAATCAAGCTTCCTCTTCTTTTTTTTCCATATATATATATATATATATATATATATATATTCTTAGCTGTGCCGTTGCCACGTCCCTCTACGACTTGTGCTATTTTAAATGATTTATTTCATTTTATTAGCAATTTTCGTGATTCTCTTGTCTCCTTCCCTCTTTCTCCTCTATAAATTACACGCGACTTTTCTACTGTTATCATTCTTTGTTCTCTCGCCTAACCTCTCTGCTCCGTTTCTTCCTCTCTTTCGTCCCTTTTTTTTCCCCATTTTTTCCATTTTTTTTATATCGTTCTCTGTTCATGCTTACTACCTACTCCGACAGTTCCTCAAAGCAGCTGTACAGTTAAATCAAAGGTATTATTATACTCTCTCATCCTTTCTCTCCATCAGCTCTTCGCCTCTGTTTTTAATTTTTTAGCGCTGTTTTCCTTCATTTTCTCAGCTTCCAAACAACATCTTTTCAAGATTTCCTTTGTTCCTTCCTCGATCTGAATCGTTTCCTTACGAAAACCTAATTTTAGAATTTTAAGCTGATTTTTCTCTTTACGAATAACTTCTCCTTGCTCCGTTATTTTTTATGTCCAAAATTGCAGTTAGATCTATTTATTTTAGTTTATTTTTTAATATTTTTTTGCTGCTGTAGATCTAACGACCTATAACTGATTTACAGTAATTGTGGAAACTTAATGTTGGAGAGAAAAACGTAACAAGTTTACTGTTAAATTTTTTTGTTAATATTGACAGTGATGTTTGATTAAACTTTATGTTAATGTTAAATAGGGATATCGATTGTTAATTGTTATAAAAAAGTTAAAAAAAACAAACAAACGATGCAGCAGTGTGCGATCCAACAAAGCGCAACTGGAAGCAGCCGTGAGGATTTGCAGAGCTCTTTTTCGGTTATGGTTACAGATCGGAGAGAGACGATGGTCTGCCCGAAACCGCGTCGTCTGGGTCTGTTAAACACTTCTTTCGACGACCACCCAGTTAGGTCCCTCAGATGGCAAATTAGGTAATTTCCTTTTATTTATATGAACTTCAATTTTAACCTCTTTTTTTCTCTTTTTTTATTAAATAAATTAAAGCAGTAACAATTTTGTTTGATGTTTTTCAGCCATCAAACAGAGCTTTGTGATTCTAAAGCAGGGAGCGGTATTCTGGATATGATTCTTGCGAAGGTGCGCTTCTTGCTCCTGATTTGTTTATTTATTATCAGTTGATTTTAGACGTAATTAGTTGTTTATTTCTGGAAATTTCGAGGAAACAATAATTTATTCATAAATTACAAAATAAAATAATCTTAGCTTTGTAACAACGGCGACGTCTCGATTCAAATCTTTTGTTTGTGGGGGACCATTTAAAATACAACCGTTGGTTTCATGTGCGAACTGCAGAATTTCTTGAAAAAAATCGTTTCGGTTCTCCAAATTTCCATCTACGAGAACCGTTAATTTATCATGTATGGTTTCTTTTATATATCTGATTATTGGTTTTGGAATTTAGCAGGGTGGTTGTAGAGTGGAACAAGTAGAGCCGTCGGCTCCATTTTTTTGTGGCTCGCCACCGAGCAGAGTAGCTAACCCGTTAATACAAGACGCTAGATTTGGGGATGAGGTCATCTCACCACTGACGCGTCCGTCCGGCCTGCCGTCGTCGTCTCCGTCTCCGTCGTCCTCTTCAAGGAAAGGAGGCTGCGTTCGAGCAAATTTTGGTAACAAGCCAGCAGTGAGAGTCGAGGGGTTCGATTGCCTCAACAAGGATCGGCGAAATTGCAGCATCCCAACGCTGGCGTAGAACATCTCAAACAACAAAAGGGGTACATAGATAAAACTAAGAGAAATTTTTTAAGGGTCTGTGAGTGACTAAAAAAGGACAAAGAACCCTTTCTTTAGTGTTAAATGGGTAAAGAGAAGGGGTTTCTTTGCATATAATCAAAACGGTGGCGTCTTGTAAGTATATTAGTTTCTTCAAAAGAAAGGAATTTTGTACAAAAAGGAGATCAAGATGGTAATCGAGTCATTTGAGTAAAACAGTCGATAGTGTATATAAAAAACGATTTGTGGTTTGACTTTTAATCCATCTTTTGTCTGTTAGCTGTGTTTTGATGGAATCCCATAAAGCCTACACATGCTATTCCTGTTTGCTTAAGAATCACGCAAAAATCCCTGATATTGAAACGGTTATTGTCAGTATTCTCTGGAAATCGGGACCAAACTACTGAACAACTTTTATGCCTTGTCAACGTGAATAAAGATGGAGCACTCTCGGACAGCAAGTATCGAGTGTTGTAAGAAAATGTCAAAGCTCTTATCATTGTCATTCCAAATCCTATAATCAATACTTCTCAACCCAACAGTTCACTCAATATTAAATTCAACTGTAAAGTCATGTTCAAATATTAAAATATTTATTTATTTAATTTATTGAACATACCATTTGATTTTTTTAACCGATTTCTTACTATATTGATTAAATCAATTTGATTGACTGGTTTTTCTTTATACATTTGTCATATTTAAATTATATTTAAAATGCATAAAAAACAATTATATTAAATCAATTAAATTTTGGATTACATTTCAAGTCATGTTCAAATATTAAAATTTATATTTAAAATGCTTCTCTTCTAGGTCGTAGGATATCATTCTATTGGGCCTCTAGCCTTTTGTTTCTCTCTCTTCTCATAATTTTTTAGAATTGAACATTCAGAATGGTATTATGATTCTTCTATTTCCCTATAATTTATTGAGTGGAACTTGAAAATAACGTGAGTTCCGTAACTCGAACTAATACTTATATTTTATTATCATTAAATTTATTTTTTAAAATTATCTTATCCAAAATATTTTATTAAAAAATTAACAAAGAATAATACTTATATTTTCTTTATTTACCTAATTTATCTTATTCTTTTACACATCAAAAATAAATTTGTTAAAATTATCTTATCCAAAAAACTTGAAAATAACCTTTTGTTCTATCAACTGAGCTAGATGATAGAGAGAATTGAGTATATTTTAATCAGATCGACGTTCCATATTCAATCAGATCAATCGGACGTCTAATATTGTCTCCAAACATAGAAAATCAACCGCAGCGCCATACCCCTTTCGTGTACCCTAAAATTTTGTATGGATTTTTTTTAAAACAGTGAAGTTAAGATTACATTTCCATTTGTTTCCTGGATTGAAGTTCACAATCTCTTCAAAATGGATAGTTAACGTTTCGTCATTGAGTGTTTTAGGCTTCCCATTTTTCGAACTTTTAATTAGAGACGATGAGAAGCACCGGTTATTCATTTTAGTTGATTCTGAGGTAACAACCAAAGAGCCGATTAATCGATTTTTAACTCTTCCATAGTTTCTTCATGGCAGAAGCTCCGCGGGGCCATGTTACTATCACTCTCGGACGTAGTGGCCAGGTGTTTGTTTGTTTTTTCTTTCATTTTCCCCCTTTTTGTAGTAATTAGATAGGTTCCTTTAGTATTTTTTTGGTTGCTGATCATATGTAGGAAATAAAGCTGAAATTAGTAGGAAATTTTCGTTTGAACGAGTTGCATTCAGTTCGACTTTGAACGGTTTAGTTTAGCTTGGTCGGATTTTACTTATTTTTTCTTTACAAAATTTAAGTTATTTTTTTCCTTTTCTGTGGAAAAGTTAGTGTAGTCCCTTTTTGTTTGTGAGTTGGTTTGCTGTGAATCTGAACTTTGTTGATTTTGTTGCCCTAGGTTGTGAAGAGGTCAGGATCTACATCAGATGTTGATCTTTTGGATTCTCATCATGTTGCTGGAACTAAGCGTTCTGTAAGGGATAGGTTGGGAGGCAACGTAGATAGTTCCTTATTGAGTCGGCTAAACAACAAACGGTATACTTTTAAGAAATTTACTGCTGTTTTATAAGCATTTCACACTCTGGCTTTTGAATGTCCATGTTTCTGCCATGGCTATTTAAGTATTGTTTTCTATTTCCCAGTGAATGATGACCGCTACGATGATGTTGCATTTGTATTACTCCTTGCTTATTAGCTCCTTTATTTTAGGACTTTGTTTGATTTAATCAATAGTAATCTGTTACTACAGGTTTTGATCTTTCGAGTGCATGTTGGACTTATTCACCTTGTCATTGACATCTTTCCTATAATTGGAGTTTAGGAATGCATAATGTTTCCACTTTTGAATGTTGGATATGTGTTTGGTGACAATACTTTAGGAACAATAAAGAGTTGTAGCTGCATAGACCATGAGTGCTAATCATTTGCCTTCTCTTCAGTGTTTACATTCTATGCAAGTATTTTCTTATGTTGAAAAGTAATAGCTGAGTTTTTCCTTTTCTACAGACAAAGAGGTGACGGTCATACAACAAGTTTCAATGCTACAGGTACAAATTTACCCTTCTGTGTTGCAAAATCGTTGTTTTTCTGATTTCTGAACTGATGTTAGAGTACTAACATTTCTTCATTTGGGAAAAAACATTTTCACATTGGTAAAGATGACCTCCGGTTTAAACTCATGCAAAAAAATGTGTTTAGACGGACTCAGAGGGACAATAACCCAAAGGGCATGTACCTTCGTCAAAAGTTGTCAAGAATGGGACAGCCTCCACCTAACAGTTATGAGATGCGTCAGGAAATTCCTGATTTAAGGGAGCAAATACCTGAACCTAGAGATCGAGTGCCTGAATCAAGGGATACCAGCATCTTGGGCAAAATTCCTTCTACAAGAAGTGTGGATGATTTTCCTCATGTGACCACATCAAGGTCTTATTCTCCTTGGACTTTAGAACATTTAAGACGAAAATCTCCTGAAAGAATAATGGGTGCTTCTAGGGGTTTATCTCCCTCAAGAAATGTTGAGCTACAGAGAAGGCCAGTTAACAGGACACCTGATTATGTGAGGACTGGTCCATACACAGGCAATTATGTTCTTGATGCTTCAAGGCCTGTGAGTAAAGCATCTTTTGTTACGAAATCCACATTGCCTGCCACTTCCGCTAAGCCTAAGCCACCAGGGCCCCCAATTCCAAGTACAATTCCTCCAAGCAATATTGTTCAAAAAGTTTGAATTCGGTACGTACTATTTTCTGTCTATTGTCCATTCGACCAGTGAAGGGTGCGATGAACTTGTTTTATGTATATGTTTCTATCATTATATTTTTCTTGTGAATATCTTCTGCATTTGTTAATGAATCAGTTTGTTCCTTTACCATGTAACTCTGGCATACTTTGCTCAGTGAAGCTTGTCATGTTTGCATTTCTTAAACTGTCAAAAGAAATGTATTATATTATTGCTATACCATTATGGTTGGAAAGTCGACCTGTCTTAAAATATTTATGAAGAGGATAAAAATATAGAAATTCGTTTGGATGTTACAATTTATTAGATTTGTTATCAAAACTTTTAAGTTGCCTAGAGGATAATATGATGTTCAAAATGTTGAAGAACCAATTGTCTTTCTGAAAATAAATATAGTACTACATTTTTAGGTATTTGACACACTCATGCTTGTTCACAGACCACTAAGAAGTTCTTCCTACCTGTGGATGGTTATTGGTCTGGTCACTTTTGCTTCTGAGTAGCATAAGGCTACTTTGGAGATGTATGTTACTTGCCCAAGATAGTTTTATTACAGCTTTGGAATTTGAAGTTGTAGGTGCTAATCTTCTATATGAATTTTATCTTTTGCTTTTGCATATCAAATTTGGATCCTAAATGATTTTTGTCCTCTCTTGTCTCTGTTTGAACATGTTTGCTTTCTCTGCTGACCCTTTTGCTACTGTGGTCATCAAATGTGTACTGTTATTTGCTTTACAGTTTATGCATAAATTGCTAGTCATGCTGTGATCCCAAAGACCTCATTCTAAAGTTATATGCATACATTGATTTTTAAAGAACAGTGTTTAGTTTAATTTTTTGCCTTTTCTTCTTTGGCTGGCTGCTTTCTAGGTCGATGAACGACAAACTGTTGAAGGCTTTCTATATTCCCTGGGACTAGGGAAATATGCTATTTATTTCAAGGCCGAGGAAGTAAGTAACCTACTTGTATGGTTAAATCTTCATAAGGATCCCTTTTTTAAAAGAAAAAAAGGTGCTCATGAGAGGCAGTTTTATATTTTGATAGTAGTTTGTTGCTTTCTTTGTTTTCTTTGGTTATTCAAGTACTTAAGTAGTTTGTCTATATTGGTGCAATAGAGGATTACTTATCAATTTGGGTTTCTAAGGGCACCATGTTGTTTTCAGAGGACATGTTTATTGATAATCAAATATGGGGATATGATGAACCAGTATATTCTTGTAGGTTTCAATAGTTGCCTTGTTGCTTGGACTTTGTGTTAGACAGATGCTGGCATAAATCTATCTTATTTGATTTTACTGATAAAATATCAAAATCTGCTCCAACTTCAGAAATACTGCAGTTGTAAAATTTGGAATTCATCTAATAAAACAATGCAAAGCATCTTCACGAAGCAGTTGGTGACTGATGTTTGCTAACGGACAGTACATATCAGAAAATGGAGGCTGTTGCTACAGCAATTCTATTATACAATTTTGAAGATTTACTTTGTTTTAAGTTATTGAACTATCATGGACGGATACTGCGACTTCGAATGGAGAATCGCTTGCTTGTTTGTTTTATCCATATCCTCATTGGTTGGCTGATCTGAGTTTGGTATTTTACTCAGGTGGACATGCCTGCATTGAAACAGATGAGGGAAAACGACCTTAAAGAACTGGGAATACCTATGGTACTTTACCCTTCTTTTCTCAATTTGATTGTTTATTATTACTTTTTCCTGTTCTTTATGTTCATTATTCATGTGCTCGTACTTAAAAACCGATGAGCATACTTGACGGTTGGTGTGTCAGTGCTTGCAAAATGTAATTTAAAGATATTAACTGTCGAAATCTATAAAACCAAGATGCGAAAGTTGTCCCTATTGAATGAGGTTTGATTCGCATTTCAGGGACCTAGGAAAAAGATTCTTCTTGCTCTCTTGCCTCGTTCCAAAAGGTAACAACAACCGTGATCATTATTATCAGTTTTTGATTGCGTTCATGAATCTTAAACCAGTGTATCTCTGCTTTGGGGTTGGAAAGAAAATGACCGATCAGTTCAGATGACAAAGTTTCGAATCTCGAATACTGCAGATTATGATTAATACTTTTTTTTAGATGATTACTAGAAGAAAGGATTCATATCCTAACATTATATGTTTTTTATTATTACTATTGTTGTAATCGAAATTCAAATGAATTGTTTTCTCCTTCACTGTGCTGTTAGGAATTGTTGCATCATCTCAAATGTTCTGATCTAAAGAGGATGCGTTCTCCCAAATATTATATCCATGGCATAATATAGTACGGATACTCCCTATGGTAAATTATAACACATACCATACACTATTACATAATAACAACATATTATAATACCAATAGTCATTTAATATTATACATATTTAATATGGTATAAAATGTTAAAAAAATAAACATGTTAAAAAGGTATAAATATTAACTTATTGTGTAGCCTTAGTGGTTAAAGGGGTATTATTCTCTGTTGAGATATTGAGTTCGAGCAATTACGTCTCTTAAAACCCAATTATGTATCATGTGCAAAATGAATTGAAAGTTAATATGGTGATTTGTTAGGTTGTATGTAACAAAAACCCTGCAATTTGATTTCATTTCATGCCATAAATGTAATAAATTTTGGTAAACAAATTAATGTTTGATTAGGTATGAATTTCAACTTTTTAAGCTTTGGATGATAATTGATAGCACATTGGGCTTCCAGTAGTTGGGTTGATAAAATACGTTAACTAAGAGTAAATAAAATTAGACATTAAAATTTAATTAAACATTGGAATTCTAAATAAAATTAAGAATAGAATCTAATAAAAATATGCTAGATCAATTACACCTTAACATTTTCATTAATTAAAATTTGACATAATTAATTAGATCAATTACATGATATGTTATTTGAATAAATACTGTAATTTTTATAAATAATTTATTAAAATGGTAAATTATGTAATTAATTAATTTTCAAAAAATAATATAACTCAATTGACAGGTGCCGATGCAAGCAAATATGCGCTGCAGGGTACAGTGCACAATGGCAACTGGCAGACTGGCGTTGTTCAGATAAAACGTACAGCCACCCATCGAAATTGTTCTTAAAAATCATTTGACACCATAACAGATAGAAAAGTGTAAAATTTTAAAAATAAAATAACAAAAAGAAAACATTAAAGAAGAATATTACCTCCAATTTATCGTCCTCTTTGTTTGTTCCTTTCTTCTCTCCGAAGCTCCAGCTTTCAGGTCCCATGGAGTCCCCTAAGCCTCTTTCTAGCCTCTCTCCTCAATGTTTCGCTTTTTAAACCCCAGAAAGTTTCCTACTTTGTTGAATTGGACATATAAGGAAGTTTATTTTCATTCCGTTTTTGGAATTTAGTTGAAAGTTTTGGATTCTGGGGTTTCTTTCTTTTACTGGCAATACGTAAAGGAAGGAAAAGTTTTAGTTTTCTATTTTTCTTTTTGTTTGGTGGTGTTCGTAGAAAATGCCGCCACATCGATCCAAGTCGGAAAAGAACGACGGCATGGCCAATCACCTTCGTCGAGATCCTTATGAATTGCTTGGGGTCTCCAAAAACTCAACGGATCAGGAAATTAAGACCGCCTACCGGAAAATGGCTCTAAAGTATGTTTATATTTCTTGCTTTTTTAATTTTATTTTACAAGCGGAAAGGTTTTGAAATGTTCGAATTCTTTATACTTTTTTTGGTTCAAGTTTTTAGTGTTTACTTCAGATTAGAGTACGTCAGTGTTCACTGATTTGTGTTTAGTCATAATTATGGTTAATTATAAGGTAAACTCACATGCATACATGGAGTATAGTTGGAGAATAAGAAATTAGGAGTTGAATTGGGAAGGCAATTCCAACGATAATCAAAGATTTGTGAGTGATCGGGATTTGGTTTGACATGGTTTGCCTTTCTATTGATAGTTTCTAACAATAGCCGTGGAGGACTATGACAAGCTTCATATTTTTAATGTCGGTATCGCCAGTTAGATAGCAGGTTTTGCTTAGGGCAGCTGCAAGGATAGGCGTCGAAAGCACAATAGAATTGGTTTTTAGTGACTGGTTGGATATCTGGAACATTGTTCAAACAACAGATAAAACTCTCAGGGAAGTCCTGGAATTATTATTTCCAACATGAGTCCAAAAGAATGGTTTATTTCCCTGATGATACTCCTTTCCAGCTAGCTGCGATGAAATATGTGGTTTGAGTTCTGGGACATATATTATTGACTATTTTTCAGATAAGTCGACATGTACACTTCTGGTTGTACACTTAAAATCGTGCTCTATCAAGGTGGCTTAGCTATATAATTTATAAATGCTATGCTGTTTCAGGTACCATCCTGATAAGAATGGAAATGACACTGTTGCAGCTGATTTGTTCAAGGTCACATTTTCTTATAATATCTTGTCTGATCCAGATAAAAGACGCCAGTATGACACTGCCGGTTTTGAGGTAAGCTATAGATGCATCTAATTTCTGAAGTTTTTTTCAGCCAGATGTTTGTCTCTGATTTCTTACTGTTACATTCATTTATGTTATATTCGGTGGTGCCAAGAGCAAAAGGCACAATCTAGGCACCAGAGCCTTTTATACGAGCGAGGTGCAAGGCTTAAAAGAAACACCATCCTAAATGAAGTTGGGCACAATATGTATAGGCTAGTATTTTGTAGGTCTGTTTGTGTACATATAAAAAGAAAAGTTAAGATACATAATTATGGAACAACTCTAAAGAGTGGTAAACATGCAAACTTTTCCCTTTCTTTTGTTGGCCAATATGCATGATTTCCTTATAGTCTCATCATCCCTTTTTTCCTAGTAAAGATACAGTTAATTAAAATAAAACTCAATTGTTAAAGAGAACTTCAATCGAGCAGGCTTTTTGTGGCGTGTGACTTATAAAAAGTGCCAAGTGCATCTAGCATGGAGCCATGGACATCATCAAAGTGCCTTGCATGGTTAGGGCACGGTGCCTTAGCAACACTTGTTGCACATGGAGGCTTTAAAGAATCCTGTTCTTTCACTTTCAGTCTTGTTAATGTTCCATCAAGTATTTCCAAACATTATTTTATTGATGAAGCTTGAAATTTAATGAACATTATGTTTTTTCTTTGAATAGGCTGTTGAAGCTGATAACCAAGAATTGGAGCTAGATCTTTCGAGTTTGGGAGCTGTGAACACCATGTTTGCTGCACTTTTTAGGTAACTCCTTGTTCTTATTATATTAGTCAAAGTGTTCCATTGTTTCAATGTCTTTATGAGTGTAATGCTTTGGATATTATTTTAACTAGTTCCTACGAATAGTAAACTTGGTGTGCCAATTAAGACCACTGTATCTGCGACTGTTTTAGAGGAGGCACTTAATGGTGCAGTCACTATTTGCCCACTTCTGCTTGGGCAACCTATTTCTAGGAAGGTAAGATAATTAAATATATGTTCTTTTGTAATACTTTTATTGATCATTTATGCGATCACTGAATTTGTTGCATGCTTAACAGGTTGAAAAACAACGTGCTCACTTCTACTCTGTTGCAGTAACAGAAGAAGAAGCAAGAGATGGGTTCGTTTGCCGAGTACAATCATCTGATAAAAGCAAGTTCAAGGTGGATAAACCATGACATAGAACTTATGGATTCAATATCATCTGCATATGAAACTAGTGTGTGTGCTTCTTTTCTCTTTTTTTTATTGGGGTGGGGGGGGGGAGTGTGGTGGATGTCGTTTGGAGGTTGCATTGATAGAAACTGCAATTCATTTCATCTTTATAGTACTAATGAAATAAAATTTGAGCTGTGCCCCTTTTCAACCTTTTGCAATGAATATGAGTGTGTAATATAAAAGGAAAAAGAGAAAGAAAGAAAGCCACCATCATTATGTGAATATTATGTTGATTTAGGTTATAAGAATTTATTGAATCTAGAATCATCGAAGCCCTTAGTCAAGTTACATAAAATTGATACTGGAAGCTAGAGTTTTATCTCTTTTATTTTGTGCTTAGCTGTGTTGCTGTGGATCGAGAGACGAACTTTTGTTTCTGATAGTTTTATTGTGTACCTGTGATCTCATTTTAGGTGGTTTTGATATGTGATCTAGGGCAAAGTTCTCGTGTTGTGTAGTTTTACCTTTTATATTGATTTGAATATCATTGTAACATGTTTTGCTCCCTAAGTTTAGATGTATGGAAGCTTAGAACTAAACTTTCATAAAGATCCAACGGTCAAGTCTCCTTTGGAAATACTTCGAAATACAATTATATTTAATCTGCTAACTAATTATCTATTTTTCATGGCAACTGAAAATAATATATATATATATATATATTACTCCTTTCCTTCTATTTGTTATTGATTGCAGTTATTGTATTTTGATCAAGAAAAGATTGGTGGATTAAGCCTTGCACTGCAGGTAATGAACTCCTTTCCTTCCGCTTTTCACTTTTTAGAATTTATAAGATATCCATTATTTATGTTAGATAACAAGTTTCATCAGATGAGCTATCATAATTATGTCTTTTAATCTCCACATCAAAAGCTCCTCCATTATGTTTATGTTTAGCATCTAGATTTTTTTAAGTTTCATGAACTTACTATTTATTATTAATTCTAAAACAATTTAAAGTTTTCTCACACAATATTGTAGTGAAACAATGGTGATGGCGATAGATACAATAACAGTTATAACTTAATTAATTACTAAGTCGGGTTTCCAAGGAGGAGGTTTTTTCCTAAGCCTTGTGCTAATCCATGGCACATGTTAAAAAGCTACTTTTGTTTCTTTTTGGTGTAGGAGGATAGTGCCAGGACAGGAAAAGTTATGTCTGCTGGAATGTATTTTCTCGGCTTCCCTGTCTATTGCTTGGATCAAACAGTAAACTCAGTGAGTTACCATTTACGAATACGCATAGTTGTGCTTAACATTGAAATTGATGTTTGGTTTTGTTGCTTTTCTTCTGGTTCTGGAAACCTGTCACTGCAGGTAGCTGCCGCAAAAGATTCAGATGCAGCTTTCTTCAAAAAGCTGGATGGATTTCAACCATGTGAAATAACTGAATTAAAACCAGGAACACATGTGTTTGCCGTCTATGGTTAGCTCTTTAATTTATGTCTCAACGAGCTCTTGTGCCTATTGGTTTATATGCATGGATGAAGCTCTCTACGATTTTAATATTTTGGCACGTAACTCCTAGGTGACAACTTTTTCAAAAGTGTAAGTTACACAATAGAAGCTATTTGTGCCGCCCCTTTCATAGAGGAAAAGGAAAACCTTAGAGCAGTGGAAGCAGAGATTCTGTCCAAACGAGCGGAGCTGTCAAAGTTTGAAACCGAATACAGAGAAGTATTTACTTTCGCAAATACGATCTTTATGCCTTTGTTAAACCCTTTTCTTCTTGTTGATATTCATGTAAATTGCTGGCAGGTCCTGGCACAATTTACTGAAATGACAAGCAGATACGCAAACGAAATGCAAGAGGTGAGATTTAACATGTGGGACTTGTGTGTCTAAGCTCCCTGAGAAATGAATTCACAAGTAAATGGATAAATTTCTCCTGTATGTTGTGTTTCTCAGATTGATGAGCTTCTCAAACAAAGGAATGAGATTCATGCCTCGTACACAACGATTCCAAAAATTAAGCGAAGTTCGAGTAGGAACAAGAGTAAGGCTGCCTCCAAAGAGGCCAAAGAAGACGGCGAAGTAAGAGACAGGAAACATTCCACGTCTGATAGAAATAAGAAGAAATGGTATAATATACACTTAAATATAGACAGGAGAAAGCCATGCTGAACAGGTAAAGTATGGTGTTTCGTTTTCTAGGAAGATTCCTTCCTATTCGGATGAACAATAACGATTAACGATTGCTTAAATCCTGTTGATTATTGTATCAGGTTATGAAGAAGTAGGTAACTTTTGGGTCTGGAAAATTTTACTTCTGTGGGGTGAAATGAAGATGGTGTACGAACCATTTCTCCATCACGTCAAGGATGACAACATCTCATTGTTATCGAATGATTCTTTCTTCCTTCTTTTTTTCCCCGGTCATATCTCATTATTTTGTTTTCCCCTTTGGAAATCTCGACTAGAATACTTGTAAATTGGCAGAAAATGCTGGAGATAAACTCCATTAGGGCTCATCTGTACTTGTGAAATGGCTCCTCTGGTGCACTATTTTTTTTGCAAGGATGGTACTTTTGGGTTAAAGAAAATAAAGTCTTAACTTTTATGCGATAACTCTAAACCATTTGACGTTGAATATTCATATTCCTAGTAGTCTTGGTGATCGAATATAGGACCTCAAAAAATAATAATAATTATTTTATCATCGAGGTTTTTGGATTGGTGCAAAAGTTTTTTTGGGTTAAAGTTGTGATCTTTGAAGGGGTTGAAGTTGTCATGTGATTTTAGAATAGTATTCTCTCTTGAAAGGGTTAACTCCATCTTTCTCTCTCATGCTCTTTCTGATCTCTTCTTTGAAAAAAATTTATCTGAATTTTAATCTTTTTTTTTTCGACTAATGACTTCTCGTTCATAATTTAAAAAACAAATCATTATTAATTATGATCTTTAAATCTTCTATGATTGATTTTTTGTTTACATTGAAAGAGATAAATCGTCTATAATTATTATAAACTTTTTATTTTCTTTAAAAGGTTTAATTTAAAAATAAATACTTAAATTATATTTTTTATTCACTTTAGGTACATAATTTGTTTTTAATTAGAGTGTCCAGCGTTTTTAATTTTATTATTTTAAGTGTTTATTTTTGTTAAAAAAATATTATCAATCACTCAAAATATAATACATCTTTATTATTTTAAGTGTTTATTTTTGTTAAAACAATTCATCAATCACTCAAAATATAATATATCAGGCATCTATATATTTTCGATTTTCGAAAATTTTGTTTAAAAGAACTTAAAAATATTATTATTATTTATTAAAAACACAAAAAATTTATTAAAATCTAAAATATCTAACTCTTAAAATTCTTAATTTCAAACATTCTATTATCGTTGTCGGATATTGTTGAATGACCATTCACCCATCACCATCTATCCAATGATTGACCATCATTTTCGTCATCATTAATATTAATTATAATAATTTTAATGAAAGTTTTCGGATTTTGATGACCAAATCGAAAGAGTCCAAAATGTTCATTGACCATGAGAAGAATGTACCCAAAAATTAAAAAAATAATGCACGTTTCCTAGGCAAATTTCCCGAAAAATCACTAACTTTTTTTTATTCCCTGTCAGACACCGTTCAGACTTTATTTCCAGATCTAACACCCTTTATAGAGAAGGCGTCTTCTGTATACGTGTAAAAAATTAGATGTTAATTTTGTAAATATTTTTAAAATGATGTCTAATATGTAATTAATTTTTGTTAGAGTGATATTTGTATAAAAACATCAACTTTATTTATTTATTTATTGTGTGAAAAAAAATTTCTACCTCAAAATCTTTAAATATTATTTTGCTAATTATTTTATAACTCAACATATTTTGATTTTTGCATGAAATTACACGATACATATAATTTAGTATAGGAAAACTTTGAGGGTAAGTATTTTAAAATATGAATAATTTTATAAAAGTTTTATAATTAGTATTTATGTTTTAAAATGATGATGATGATGATGATGATAAATATTTTATAATTTAAAAAATTATATATTTTATATATTTTTGATTTTTTTTGATTTTATATTCTTTTTGTATTGAATTTTTAAAAAAGTGAATAATAATTCATTTGATCTATAAATTGTAATTAAAAGTTTATTTTAATATTTTTATATTTTTAAACAATTAATATTAAAAGTCAATAAACATTATTAACTGTTAAAAAATAATATCACACAAAAAATAAATCAATAAAGTTGACATTTTTATTGAATTTTATTCACTTTTAATTATTTTTATTGCATTTTAATTGGTTTTTAAAAAAGTGAATAATAATTCATTTGATCTATCAATTATAATTAAAAGTATAAAAATGCAATAAAAAAGAATTAAAAGTGAATAAAATTCAATATAAAAATAATATAAAGTCAATTTTTTTCAAAAATATATAAAATTTATAATTTTTTAAATATAAAATATTTATCATCATCATCATCATCATCATTTTAAAAAAGAAATACTAGTTATAAATTTTTTATAAAATTATTCATATTTTAAAATATCTACACTCAAAGTTTTCCTATACTAGATTATACGTATTATTTAATTTTAATATAAAAATTAAAATTTATCGAGTTATAAAATAATTTGTAAAAAAATATTTAAAGATTTTAATATAGAATTTTTTTTCACACACAAAAAATAAATAAATAATATTTTTATAAAATATATCAAAATTAATTACATATTAAATATTATTTTAAAAATATTTATAAAATTAATATTTAATTTTTTTACACATTTTACATAACGCTTTAGGGGCACACGTTATCCCACGACGTGACACTAAATCAATATAAGGCGCACCCCTAAAACGTATATTTCTATAAAAAAATGTTTGATTTAGAAATAATATCTGAATGATGTGTACAGAAAATAAAAAAAAAAATTAGGGGGATTTTTCGAGAAATTCGCCTAGAAATGTAAATTTGTCCAATTCAATCCGTCTTTTCAAAAGACAAATCTTTCGAGCAGTTTTCATATGCCGCCACCTTGGGAGCCGTGTCAGATTTGACGGCGCGTTCTCCAATTGACCTCTGGTGAGTTTTCGGATTCATTCCAAACACCATTGATTTCACGTTTCTCGAGATTTTTTTAGCACGGGAAAATGACAGAGGGCAGGGCGGGCAGGCAAGTGAATTTTGGAATCCTAGCAAGTAGCAACTACCAAATCTCTGACTCCCTTTGTAATAATAAATTAGACTGCGGGGATTTGTTACACAGAGAAAGATTTGATTTTGAGAGAGAAACGAACACAAAAATTTAAAACTAAGAAAACGAAATTGAAATCTAAAACGCGTATAAAACCCTGTTTATTCATGTTGAACTCATTGCTTTCTTCTTTTTCAAGAGAAATTTCACCCAGTGTTGGGTATTTTTTGCCTTGAGATGGCGGTGAGAAGGGCGGAGGAGATGGGCGGGTACGGTCATTCAGATTTTGAAACGGAGGAAGTCCATGTCCTCGCCGTCGATGATAGCCTCGTTGATCGGAAAGTAATTGAAAGGTTGCTAAAAAATACTTCTTGTAAAGGTTGGTCATCATGATTCCGTGATTTTTTTTCACTCTGTAAATTAACCATGATTGGGTTTGAATTTAATGGGGTTGGTTTGGAACTTGGATTATTGCAGTGACGGCAGTGGATAGCGGACGAAGAGCTCTGCAATTCCTGGGTTTGGATGATGATAAAGAAGCTAATGGGTTTAATGTGAGTATAACTGAAATTTCGTCGGTGTTCTAAAAATATGTATTTTTTCAGCTCAATCTTTAGCTTTGGTTTATGGTTTTCAGGGTTTGAAGGTTGGTCTGATTATCACAGACTATAGCATGCCTAGAATGACCGGCTACGAATTGCTCAGTAAAGTTATGGTTAGAAGAAAAAAGGAATCAAATTTCACGAATTTATCTGCAGAAACTTTGCAATGTTCATCCGAATGAATGTTGTTTTGATTTGAACAGAATCCTCTGTTTTCAGAGAAATCCCGGTTGTAATCATGTCATCTGAGAACATTATTACTCGAATTGACAGATGTTTAGAGGAAGGGGCCGAGGATTTCATAGTGAAACCGGTGAAATTATCAGATGTGAAACGTATAATCGATTACATGACGGCAGATTTCGTGGGGGGAGGAAGAAGAGTAATCAACAAGAGAAAGCTAAGAGACGACAGCGGTGATCGATCTTCATTGTCTCCACCTTACACTATCATCAGCATCTTCATCGTCAACACTGGATTCTCCCACCAGACGTCTCAAAATGGCAAGCTTTGAAGAGCACAATTTTTACTAATATAAATTTAAACTTTATCCTCCTGAATTTCTCCGTTGATATTTTGACGGCTTTTGTTGCGCTTTGTAATGGCAGATAAGCTTTTTATGAGAATACTCACTTCCCTACCACTAGCACACTATTAGGCATAGATAGATCTTTGGACCTTACGCTTCGGCTGTCAGACTTTGTTCATTCTCATGCAACCAACAACTTTAGCCATTACATACATCCACTGCCCTGCATTTTTCTTATATGTTTCCAAACAAAAGGTATAATAAAAATGGTTTACGTAAGCAATAGGCACAAATGCACAAATAATTATCAAACTCCACACGGTATTCATGGTTTATGTCGAGCATAAATCGATGTTTGAATGGCCTGATGACGGGGAAGAGCTTTGCCATTCACAAGCACTTGCTCCAAGAAATCAACACGAATTGATTTGAACTTGTAACACTGCAATGATTTCACCCCCATCAAATACTCCAATTGTGAATTATGTATAGTTTATGAAACCTATACCCATACAGGTTTCATTAACATGTTAGTCACAGCAGCATGTTCTTATTTTGAGCCTCTACTTCCCAGCCCAATAAAAGATAAGTCCAGGAGAAAATACCTTTCCTTTCCAAGAAAAGTCGACCTGAAGAAAATGGGGATCCAATAAAGTTAGTTGATCTCCTTTAATCTGCAACCAGAAGGTTTGATAGATTCAGATACACAGGTCTGAATGACTAATATTCAGAACCAAATTGAAACAAAAGGAGGGAAAAAATAGCACCGAGGCTTGAGTTGATGTAAACAGTGAAGCAGCATACTTACCGTATCGTTGCGTATGCCATATATGTTAGATTATACGTAAAGATCAATCATATGATGATTGTAATAATACATTTATTTATCAATTTTATTGAATACAGCTATTACCGCAATTATTTTCAATTATATATTTGTGTTTAACATACACTGGAAGATAATAAAGTCCATATAATGACATAATTATTATTATTAAAAGATCCCTAGTCAAGTATTATTATGGGCATAAACAATAATAATACGCTTAAGACTAACATGTTATTGATTGATGACAACGAGTTGTCATTGACATAGAGATGACAGAATTGATACATGATCATATTGTTAGAAAACAATATATTGGATTGACACACCATGAGCATATGTCTTAGATTATTATGTGATAGTCATAACATTGCTCATGGTGATGACTATATGTATGATCCTCAGACTTGAGATCAATACTATCCCAAACATATATTATTTTATGTTTTGATGCATTTAAACAAGCTCCGTAATTGGTTGATCTATAAAGACTGTTATTGAATATATCTCAATATATGTAGTGGGTGTGTATGATTATGATAGGATTTGTCTTTCATACATAATAGGAAATATATCACATACCACTTGATTGAATGAGACTAGAAATGCATGGCAATGCTCGAATAAGTTGATATGAGATATCACAAACTATTCATTAATTAAAGTATACTCTAGATATCAAGAAACAATAAAATGGCTATACAAGTGTGGCTATTCCAAGACTTGTGCCTATTCTAGATATAAAAGACATAAGAATGTGATACATAAAAGAGTTAATCATCAATATGATATGTCGAATCATATTTTCTTGTAACTTAGGTGACAATGATATATTGCTAGATATCACTCATTGTATGTAATATTAGAATTGTTCTAATAATTACTGCTAACGTTACAAGAATCTACAGGGTCACACCTTAGGATTGAAACGAGTAAAGATGTACAATTTGTTGTACGTTACTAAAATATATCTAGAGTTAATATATGTATGTTTGATATACATATGTTTTAATAATCACGAATATTTAATTCCAATTAATTAAATAAAGATTTAATTAATTTGAAATAATAAAATCTTTAATATGATTAGGGTAACTTGGAAATAAAAGGAGGTGTAAGGTCTAGCAGCCGTTTTTTTAACACACATAACATATTGCTCTCAATCGGGAGAACTGAGTAGAGGTCGAGATGTGATTTCGTGGAGGCTGATGATTCGAACCGATCGACACCACCATTAGTCGCTGATGTCTTTGTTGTTTTTCAAGGAACCCACTGTAAGTATTCACATCCTTTCCTACCGATTTTGGATTATCGTACTTGGATCGCTGGTGAAACCGTTGAATTTTGGTTTCGCTGTGCCATAGGGTGAGCTGACGGTCCTAACAATATACTGATAGAACAAAGAAACTTTGATTTGAATCGCACGTCAAATAGTAACTGCTAAACCAAAATAAATTTCTTTCATATTTTGCCAAAGAATTCATCGTATAGGAAAGGAAGAATGGAAAATAAACTATTGGTTTTAGCTAACACAATAAAAGCCATATTTTACAATGAAAAACTAAAAACCCAAACCCACAAGAACCATAACCTCAAACAACCTAAGCCATAAATAAATCAAATCTGAAACATCCGGAATCCAAAAATCATATTAAAATTGTTGCATCTTTTAAAGATCTAAAATTGTCTTAAAGCTAGATTGTAACACCCCAAACTCGTACCCGACCCGGATACAAACCTGAGGTGTCACATTTGACTTTTCAAAACTTGACTCTTATAAAAATCATGAAAATCTAAACTTTCATTAAATACAATTCATTAATTTACATAAGTTAGATTAAAATAATACAAAATCGATCAGAGCATGCGTAATTCACAACTTGTTTACATGGCAACACATTTAATACAACAAAATACATATTTTGCAAATTACTTATGATCGATCCGCTAGTAAAGGTATGATGTCCTTGCAGCTCCTAATTCTGGTCCTCTTGTTTCTTGATACCTACATGTAAACCACTTACACGCTAAGTCACAGACTTAGTGAGGCATAAAAGAACATATAAAAATGAATATATACTACTATGATTCTATCATAACATTCTAATTTGCATATATTTACGAAAGTATAATACATATGATCTATGATATGCACATATAAAACTTAACTTATTATAAGAGTTCCCGTTCAATTTATCTTTAAATGCCCATGTACATTATTGAGAACAGGAGGTACGTGAGTACAATAAGGTTTTGCACAAATGTTGTCACCACAGTTTGAATAAATTCCCACTAGGGGCACTGAAAATTTGTCCTGAAGGACCACTCTGTCCCGAAGGACCACTATGTCCCAAAAGACCACTATAATCCCTTGACTCTTGGCATGCCAATTATATCTACAGCTTTCATATCGTATAACATGGGATTAAATATAAATACATTTCCCATTTTCATATTCCTTTTATCACTTCTCATATAAGCACACCATTCACTTCACATGCACACATATGATCACGTTGTCTATTACACATACATGGATTTGTTCTCTTATAATTGCATACATTCATATTACATTATATTAAAACATTTAAAAGGTATGCAAGTACTTATTATAACCATAACATATGCATGTATATGAAAAGGAAATCATAACATCAAATATAGGAAATAGACTTATCACAAGTCTTATTTCCATTAAACTATATCATAGTATGCACTCACCTTAGCCTCACTTGATTCAAATCAATTCTAGCACTTTATCTCTTTCTCGACCATTTCTAATTCTTCGATTGTTTCAGAAAGGGGTTACGTTCAATATCTTCATAAGCATACATCGATACATATCAATATTCAAATGGCATACTCTAATCATTCATTTTTTAAACTAAAGGAAATGCGAAATTTCATTTTTTATTTAAAGTAGTATCGGTACCCCTATAGGGTATCGGTACTTCCCCTAACTGAGGTATCGATACCATGCCTATGTATCGGTACCCTTGGTATCGATATTGTTCTTCAGGTATCGATACCTCATGAATGTCTTCCTTAATTTTACTCTTGAGGTATCGTAATTTTACTCTTGAGGTATCGGTACCTGATGAATTGGTACCGATACACCTTGCCCATAAATCACTTTTTAAGCCCGAAAATTACTTCATTTCAACTCAAACACTTCATGTTTCATCCCCTTTCATACTCTTAACTCAACTACACTCACTTAAACCCATTTGTACTCATTTATCACATCATTACCTTCAAAGTTCTATTCTCTACATGGAATTCAAGATTCATACTCAATTTTCAACATGTTCTAATTCCAATTCTAACACTTCATACTTCTTAATTAGGTTGATGACAAGTCAAATTTGGTCTTGAAATTTAATTACTACTTATCTACCAAGATTTCATTTAAGAACTCTTCATCTTTAATCCTTCCTATACCCTTCATCTTGTTGTTTTAAGACAAATTAATCTTTCCTTAAGCTTAAGTGTCATCTAATGATCAAAACCAAACTTAAATTTCAACTAATAATCAACTAATAAAAAATCTCATCTTTGCCTTAAGCTTTCACGTATAAAAAAGAAAGAAGAAGATAACTCTAGAAATTGAGACTTTGCCTCTTCTTCACTTCCACATAGGTTTTAATAACCCACAACAAAATTAATTATTTCTTTATTAAATGACCACTTTTCCCTTCTACTACTCCTTCTTTGAAATTCAATCCTATACCAAATTTACAATATAAGTCCCTAAACTATTTAAATTATCTACTTTAGTCACCAAATTTTGAAGTTTAACAATTTAGTCACTAACCCGGTATTGAAGATGTTATAAATCTCCCCCTTAAGAAAATTTATCCTCGAATTTTCATTGTGAAAAGAGATAGGGGTACTGATTCCTCATGTCCTCTTCACGTTCCCACGTTGCTTCTTCTATCTTATGATTCCTCCACAACACTTTAACCAATGGAATAGTCTTGTTCCTTAATTGCTTAACTTCGTGAGCTAAAATTTAGATCGGTTCTTCCTCATAAGTCAAGTCAGGTTGAACCTCGATTTCTTCTTATGTCACGATATGGGAGGGATTAGATCTATACTTCCGAAACATTGAAACATGAAAGGCATCATGAATATTCTCCATTTCAAGTGGCAAAGCTAGTTGGTATGCCATTGGTCCTACTCTCTTAATGATCTCATATGGTCTAATGAACCTGGGACTAAGCTTTCACTTACGTCCAAACCTCAAAACCTTATTCCAAAGAGATATTTTTAGAAACACTTTATCTCCAATTTGATATTCTATTTCTTTCCTATTAAGATCCACATATGATTTCTGTCTACCAGCTGCTGCTTTGAGATTACTCTGAATTACTTGAACCTTTTCTTCCACTTCCTGAATTAACTCAGGACCGAGAACTTCTCTATCTTAAGCTCGAACCAATTCAAGGGCGTATTTCATCTCCTTCCATTAAGAGCTTCATAGGGAGCCACTTTGATGCTTGACTGATAACTATTGTTGTAAACAAATTCGGCAAGTGGCAAGTATTTTTCCCACGATCCCTTGAATTTTATTACACAGGCTCTCAGTATATCGTCCAGAATTTGGATAGTCCTCTCAGACTGTCTATCTGTCTGAGGATGAAATACTGTGCTGAAATTCAATCGAGTTCCTAACGCTCCATGCAAAGTCTTCCAAAACCGCGATGTGAATCTAGGATCTTGATCGGAAACAATGGAAACAGGTACACCATGTAATTATATAATCTCCCTGATATATAACTTTGCATATTTGTCCATAGAAAAATCAGCTCGTACCGGAATGAAATGGGCTGACTTAGTTAATCAATCTACGATCACCCATATTGAATCTCTTTTGTTCAGAGTTAAAGGCAACCCCGTCACAAAATCCATCGTTACATTCTCTCATTTTCATTGAGGAATAGACATTGGTTGTAACAATCCTAATGGAACTTGATGCTCCGCTTTGACTTGCTGGCAAGTCAAACAATTGGATACGAATTCTGTAATATTTCTCTTCATTCCAGGCCACCAATATCGACTCTTGAGATCCATATACATTTTGTTTCCTCCAGGATGCATCGTCAATGGACTACAATGAGCTTCTGTTAACAATTCATTCCTTAATTCATCATCGTCTGAAATCACTAATCTCCCTTGATAATACAGATTCCCATCAGACTAGATCTCATAATCTTTTATCTCATCATTATTTACTTGTTGCAACTTCTTTAGACATTTTTCATCTTTTGCTTGCAACTCCTTAATTTGATCTAACCATGATGGCTTGAGAGTCAATTCAGTACATATTGCACCATCTCCATTTAATGATAATCTGGCATCTGAAGCTCGTGAATACCTTCCTTAATTTTACTCTTGAGTTATCGGTACCTGGTGAATTGATATCGATACCCTTGCCCAGAAATCAATTTTTAAGCCCAAAAATTACTTCATTTCAACTCAAATCATCCCCTTTCATACTCTTAACTCAACTACACTCACTTAAACTCATTTGTACTCATTTATCACCACTTTACCTTCAAAGTTCTACCCTCTACATGGAATTCAAGAATCATACTCAATTTTTAACATGTTCTAATTCCAATTCTAACACTTCATTTTTCTTATTTAGGTTGATGAAAAGTCAAATTTGGTCTTGAAATTTAATTACTACTTCTCTACCAAGATTTCATTTAAGAACCCCTCATCTTTAATCATTCTTTTACCCTTCACCTTGTTGTTTTAAGACAAATTAAGCTTTCATTAAGCTTAAGTGTCATCTAATGATCAAAACCAAACTTAAATTTCAACTAATAATCAACTAATAAGAAATCTCACCTTTTCCTTGAGCTTTCACGTATGAAAAAGAAAGGAGAATAAGAGAACTCTGGAAACTGGACTTTTCCTCTTTTTCACTTCCAAGTGGGTTTTAATATACCCCCAACAAAATTTATTATTTCTTTATCAAATGACAACTTTGCCCTTATGTTACTCATTCTTTGAAATTCAATCATATACCAAATTTACAATATAAGTCCCTAAACTATTCAAATTACCTATTTTAGTCACCAAATTATAAAGTTTAACAATTTAGTCACTAACCCGGTATTGAAGATGTTACACAGATGAACCTTATCTATGATATCTACAATCTCAAGATGTAGCTCTAGCATTTTTTTGATAAGATTTGAAGGCCTCGTTAAAACCCCCTTCTTGATTAATGAAGCTCGTAGAGAAGCTCATTAATCAGCGGAAGTAGGAAAAGAATGCCTTAGGATTTCATTAAACATAAAGAGAATTACAAAGGAAATACAACACACCAAATACACACTTACATGAACCAGAAAACCATAAGACAACCGCAAACGACAACGCAAAAGTCAGCCTATTCCAGCCTTGGCTAAGGCATCAGCCTCTAAGTTTGCTGTCCTAGTAACCCATCTAACAAACCCCTCAAAAACTCTAATCCTATCTACTATATCTTTAATAATAAAAGCATACACACCTAGACATAAATCAACATTCTTAATCCAGTCCACTGTCACCCTGCTATCACTCTCAATAATCAACCGATCCTTAACAATCTCTTAAAAAGAGACAAAGAAAGATAAACCCCTTTGAATAGCTTTAAACTCCATCAATGTAGGAGGACCCGAACCAGAAGACTCATTGAAAGAGCCTAAAATTAAACCAGAATGATCTCTTAAAACGCCACCAAGGCCACTCTTCTTATAGTCGCAGCATCAACATTCAATTTAATGAAGCCCTTAGAAAGAGGGGATCGAAAGATAGATAAACTCATTAACTTGGAGGATGAGCAAGAATCCCTTAGGGAAGGATCAGAAATGATAGAATCCTTAGGAATATAAATCTGTTGAATTATGTTTCGATATAACAAATTTAAGGCAAAATGTTTTTGGACTTGAATTAAATTTATTCAAAGTTTTAAAAAGGTTTCAAAAATAATTCAAAGTCCATTAAATTCGGATTTGAGCAAAAATGCTAAAGGGTGTCAAAGTGCATCCATGCACCCCTGCAGTGTATCCATGCACCCCTGCAGTGCAACCATGCACCTCTGCAGTGCAACCATGCACTTGCCACTAGTGCATCGATGCACCATGTAGTGCATCCATACACTCCATTTCAAATGCAATTAGTGTATCGATGCACTCTGCTGTGCATCCATGCACCAAGGCTGCAACGGCTAGTAACGACTAGTTTATTTGAATTTAATGAAGGGGTATCGATACACCTTGATAGTGCACCGATGCACCATGTTATGGGCAGCCTTTTTGAGTAGAAAAATCATCCCCAAACGGCTCCAAAACATCCCCAACGATTATATACGACTTCAAACACATTTCAAGCTATAAATACAAGCTAAGGACACTTGAAGAAGTAAGAGAACAAATATCCAAGCAATCAAACACAAGAGAAGAGTTTTTCATTCTTATTTCATCTTTCTCTTGTAAATATTTTGTTATTGTGAGCTTAATTCTTGTAAACACCTACCTTAGAGAGGTTTTCTTGTTTATATTTCTTATCCTTTTGTAAAGGGGAAAGGTTCTAGTTTTGCTCAGAAAAATTAGGGAGTTGTAAGGTTATCTCTTTGTCCTCAAAAGAAAGAATAAATTAGTGAATTTGTTGGAAAATCCTTGGTGAGGAGCTAAGGTAGTGGACGTAGACTTTGGTTGAGAAAGTCGAACCACTATAAATTATTGTGCAATTCTCTATCTTTCAATCTCCTTACTCCCTAAACACAAAACCGTTCCGACCCCTCTTTGCAAACCGTTCCGATTGTCGATTCGAGCTTCTGAAAATCCCAACAATTGGCATTAGAGCCTAACTCATTAAGAAGCTTTAACCACCTTGAGACGATCCTCGAAGAAGCTCTACCAATTCCCGACACAACTAAGAAGATGACTTCCACCTCCGGCTCGTTCCACATGGAAGACTCCCTACCAACGGTTATGCCTCCATACTTGAATGGAGTCAACTATCATCATTGGAAGAAATCAATGAAGGTATTCATCCAATCCAATGATCTTGATGCATAGGAGATTATCGGGAATGGCTACTCTTCTCCAAAGAAAAAGGAGAAGAAGTGGAGTGACAAAGAACTGAAGAAAGCTCAACTTAATGCGAAGGCCATGCACATGGTGTTGTGTGAATTTGGTCCTAAAATCTATGAAGGAGTTTCTTCATGTTCAAGTGCCAAGGAGCTTTGGAATAATCTCAAGGAAATCTAAAGAGACGAGAAAGAAGAGCAAATTTCGGTGATGTCTCTATTAGCTCTAACAGAGCCAAAGGTATCTTCAAACTCAAATAAGTTAAATTTACATTCTTTAATGAGTTACAAGATGCCTATGATGAATTATTTTTGAAGTTTGAGACCATAAACTCCAAATATAAAAAATATGATTTCTAAATTTATTGCTAAAAATGATCTTCTTTTGAAAGCTAAAACAGACTTGGAAAATCAAAATAAAATGTTGAGAAAAGAGTTAGAGCTTTCAAAAATAAAATCTAAAAACTTTGAAAAAGAAATTTTCAAATTAAACAAACTTTATCTAGAAACGAAAATGGATTTTGAAAATCAAAATGAAATCTTGAAGAAGGATTTAGAGCTTTCAAAAATGAAATTTGAAAGTATTGAAAAAGAAAATTTCGATTTGAAAGTTAAGCTTGAATGTTTAACAAAAGAAAAAGAGATCATTTTAAATAATTCATCTAGTTTAATAATGACAATATGTTCACATTGTTATTATCATGGTCATAAGGAACATACTTGTCCTTTGAAGAAAGGAAAACGTTTTAAAATTATATAAGTATGGGTTCCGAAAGGAACAAGGGGAATTGAAACTAACGTTCAAGGATCCAAAGCAATTTGGATATCAAAATCTACTTAAATGTCTCTTGTAGGTGTGTGGGAGCAATGGTGATGAAAATGATGATATTCAAGATGCTATAGCCACACATGAAAAGGAATGGGTAACCTCTAAGCCTAATGTTTTTAATTTTAGTTATTTGGTTGCTCATAGGATTTATGCATGCATGAGTTTTGATTTTAAATGATTATGCATTGTTTTTATTCTCATGTATGTTAAAAAAATGGTTATGATTAACATTTTAAATTTTTAATGATTTTTTTTTATTTTTAGTTCATCATAATAAAATTTTGGTCAAAATTGGTTTTAATGCAAATGATATCTCTTTAACAATTGATATCAAAATTTTCAAATGCATAACATTTTTGGAAAACTTTATGCATATTCACTTAATTTCAATAATTAATATTGCATAAAGTATTTTAGACTTGGATATATTGAATTTCATGTACTACTAACATGTTTGTTATTATTTGTTGAAATTCAATTTTGTTTAAGTGTCAAGTTCTTAAAGCTAAATTTTGTTTAGAATGCATTTATTGAGGGGGAGCTTTGATTTTTCAAATAAGTTTTAAAATGTCAAGTTTACTACTTACTCTTCAAAGTTATTTTGAACTTCAAAAATTGAATTATTTTTTATATAACAAAAGGGGGAGAAGTTTGGTTTGAAAAATTCAATTTCTTAATGAAAAAGGGGGACCTTAACATTTTCATATATTTTCAAACAACTGGTAACAATTGATATCATTTTGTTAACAATTGGTATCTTTTTCATTAATTGAAACAATTTTCACAAAGTATTTTGAACAAAAAACAAGCCTAAAATCAATTTTTTTTCAAAGGAATGCACTGATGCACCACTCCATGCACCGATGCACAAATGAATAAATTGAACATCGAATGCAGTTTATGCATCGATGCACTCTCCATGCATCGATGCACTCAGGTTTTAATGAAAACATCGAATGCATTTTATGCATCGATGCACACACCATGCATCGATGCACTTAGGTTTATTCTAAACATCGAATGCATTTTATACATCGATGCACACTTAGTGCACCGATGCACTAAGTGTTCCAACAGTCAAAATATTTGAATTTTACACTTGATGCACCGATGCACCTTGTGTATGCATCGATGCACTGACACTCCCAACTGATTTTATTAATTTTTTCACACTCAAACGGCTCTATTATCTCCACTAATCATCCTCAACGTTCAAAATCAATTGAAGGAGTATTTAAACAAGCTTAGAAGCCATTGATCAATAGAATTAAAAAAAAGCTAAAGAATCAAAGAGAAAACATCAAACCTCAAGTTTGAGCAATTTCAAGCCAATTTCATTCAATATTCATTTTTGCTTTCAAGAACACTACTTGTACTCAATTGTATTCATTCTTGAGTGTTCTTTTCTTTGTTTTAGAATTGTGCAAACACATCTTCCTTATGAGGTTTTTCATTAAGTTTGCGAATTTGTAAT